TTAATATAATAGTTGAACAATGTCAAACCCAAAGCACTGCAGGTCCAGTTCATATTCAGAGTCAAATTTTTTTACCAGCATTTAATGTGTGTTAAATAATGCAATAACAATATGTATAATAATATAATGATATAGCATAATAGTGCAATAAATAATGTGCTCAATAACCAAATAATTTGCATATTAAATAAGTCATTTTCTCACATGTAAAGGCAGCTGTTCCGAAAAGCCACTATACAATTGTATGCTTCAGTCAGCTGGCAGAATGTTTCATCCTCTAGCAAGAAACGATGGCCAAAAACCACAGCACAGGTCACATTAGAGACAGCACGAACAATGGGGAGGGAAGGGTCGACAGCTTTTCCTGCAGGCAGAGACAAGCATTCATCTCCAAAGCACTTTCTTTACCTCCTTTGCTATTTTGGAAGCAAGATCACAATGACATTTTGTAATAGATGTCCTCTATGCTATTTAGACTGTTACACTGAAACACCCAAAATTCACTGGCAAACGTAACAAAAGATAAACCTCATTCAAAAATGAGGACAGGAAGGCCTCAAGTCTTTAATGCCCAGCCTTGGTTTTTTGTTTGCCTTCTTTTTTCTTTTTTTTTTTGTTTTTTTGTTTTTTAAATCTTGATCTTGGTGTTGATACCAAAATACACATTGCTGAGGTCTGATTGTACAAACAGTTTTGATTGCACTCTAAATCTAAGCTGTGCTCCTAACCCATTCTTTTCTGGAGTAAAAATAGTTAGTCTTTACCCTTAGAGTCATGCAGACTATGTACTATGTCAAAAGCGCCAGTGCAGTTCCCAAGCACTTGTCAATGGCATACCTTTTTTGTCTCTGAAAAACTCGACTAGGTAGTGGGCCTCGGTTTGTATCCTGCACTCCATTCCTTTATTCCCCATTCCCAGTTTTCGGAGAGCTCCAATTCCAAAATGTCTCTGATGTTTCCAGATGAGACCATTCGAGACCAGAATACCTTCAGCCATCAAGAATCAATTTTATGTGATGTTAATGTTCATAGAATAGTAAATGACATACACACTAAGAGTCATCTTCTCACCATGCTGCCACTCATAAAGAAGAGAGCCATTTCAGGGCAGTGTTCTTTTAATTGTATTTTGTTAGAGACAGAGAAACCACCTTGGTTAATATATTCACATCCCTGCAAAAAGCCCACTCAAATCTCAGGACTCACACACCTGCCTTCCAAAACGAGTCCTATTCTTTCTGAAGCATACAAGACCAGTGGTCATTACTCGAAAGTCCACCCAGCAGCCTGCTACAAGTTGCAAAGACTGTGGTTTGGTGTTGCCTTCTATTTGCCCATGCTTTGAGCAGAAATTAATCTAAACCCTTATTCACAAAGAAGGGCTTATAGCCCAGCTCATGCAGCCTCTTACAAGATCTCATTTATTATCTTGTACAATCTTCTAATACAATTAATACTTACTTGTAAGCTATGTTTGCCAACATCCCCATATAGACATTGTGTTCTTGCAGATGTTGCCACTCCTGCAGAGTTGACAAGAGAGCTTTCCTCAATAAACAGTAAGTTCAGGTTTCTGCCGCCTGGAAACATGATGGTGTCTCTCACCAAGCTACTCATAGCCAACGGAGATTTCTGCAGAGCTCATTGGGGAGGTCTGGGCGTTTCGTATGCTTGTGCTTCTTAACCTTATGCAAACCTTCTGGAGATCATTGCATCTCACTGTTGGTAGTGCTTCGAAAAGAAAAACTCTTTAATGGCTAGAATTGATAACTGGTTCTGAGCCCATGTTGTCTGTGCTACACAGTCTCTGGCTTTTAAGGGATCCTGCTTTTACCAGACTATTTACACCAGATATCGAATTCTCATCCTGGTCCAGGTCCCTCCTGGAAAGACAACGAAGCCAGGGCAAGAACCACCTAGCAAGAACCAGAGTAGGAAGAGCAGACTTTAGCCAATCTACAAACAGGTTCCTATGACCAGAGGTCTCACTGTGGGACAGAAAGGAATCCCAGGCCCCTGTGCTGTGAGTCTGTGTTCTAGCAGACAGCCCAGCATAAGCCATTTAATCCACATAAGCCATTTAATCCACATAGAACATTTAATCCACACAGAACATTTAATCCACACGGTGGGGAATCACTTCCCTCCACCAGTCTAGCCCACGCTTCCCCTGGGAAAGCCAGCTTGCTCCCTGAGACATCGGCTTGAACACAGTCTGGAATAACTCTCCCCTATTCCTTCTGTTGTCCTGGGAGCCTAAGCTAGCAGAAAAGGAGCCTGCCCAACAGGCAGGTATATTTGTTGCAGAGAGTTGCCAACTTGCAGCTGTGCTGCAGCTGTTTGTTAAAGCCATCCCTGCTACAAATTGCTAGTGCTAGGGCAGCTTGTCATAGCCCAGCTACTTTACTCCACATCACCCAGATAAAAGGTGGCAATAAAGACCCTACCAAATGGACTGAAATGGCCCCAGACTTAATCATATCCATTCCTTAAAGATGTTTTTCTCCACTTACATTAGCTAGTATTATAAATCAAAGCTTTCCAGATTGTAGTCCACATGCAACAAAGCCTGACTGAGGATAGAGGCATCTGCTCTGTATCCTCTGGATAAAAGGCTGGTGGAAACAAGATCAATCATTTCTGTTTTAAACACAGCACCCTCTTTATTCTCCATCCACCACCATTCAGCAGTGTCTGATGTAAATGATAGCACAATAAGAAGCTCTGAACAAAGATATGTTGCATCTACAGTCTGGCTAATACATTTAAAGCTCCAGTGACCTTCCTGTGCCTTTGGGCTTCCCAAAAGGCTAGACCTTGTTCAACAGCTCTGTACATGCTTTTCTTACAGCAGCCTTTGCTGTAAACAAAAAACTGGGAGCATAAAGAATTACTTTAGCCTCAGCTTGCAGAGGAGGCTGCAAACTCCAGATTATTTCAAATCAGGACACACACTTAGACAACACTACGAATGGACAAGCACGACCTAGCTAGGTACAAATACTGCTGCTCTGATGAGATTCTGAAATACGTGTGTGACAGAGGGACTTTGGAGACAACTTAGAGTAATGCTGCAGAATTATATCATTTACCCTGAGCAGACAAAACGGGTGAATTGGGAACTAGGGGCCTGTCAGTAAGAAAAACATGAGAGGAAACAAAGAAAGTCAAGGATGAAGTCCTTCCACAGATATGAACATCTTACCCTTTCCATTTGCCATTCCCTTGAAGACACAGGTCTGCAGTCACCCAAAAACATCTTCTGAGTCCTTCACGGCTTGGAATCCATACAGCACCACCATAGGTTTGTGACCCAGCTACAGGGTACAGATGTTCCCATAGATTTTTGCCAGCTGTAGGTTAGATCAATGCCTAAAAAAATAACCATGGGAGAAACACCAACCAAAATGCGCACATGATGGGCTGCTCTCTTCCAGCATGACATTACTCAGGGGTTCAGGAAATGAAAAAGGACGGTGATTTTGTTTTGCAGTGAGAGTGCTTACCACAGTAAAGTTCTGGGCTCTCTCTGGGAACCCGCTATTCACAGCAATGTGCCTGATAAAAAGGGGAAGAGCATCTACTCTTTTAAAACTTGACTTGGGTTGCCTTTGCAATATTAACGATTAGGAAAATGCCCCAACCAAGTGTTTACAGATACATATTAGGTTTCACATGAAACGTCACCTGCCCATTCTTGATTACATTTTTCAACTCCATATTTCATTTCCTCAGCCAATGACTAGTTTAACTAGTACCGTGGATTTCAAGTTTCAATGGCAGGATGTCTTCCCCTCTTATACAGAAGTACTGTCAGCTGAGGGATCTGAGCATAGATCCCACCTCTGCGTGGCTAGTGATGGGGACTGCTCTCAGGCAACCCTGTGGGGATTCAGCAAGGACAAAGTCCCTGACTCTAGGCAAAGAAACAGTACAGCTCTGTTATGCCACAGTGATGAACATGTACCCATCAGGGAAGTTTAACATCAAGGTCTTTTAAGTTCCCTTTTCATGAAGCCAACATTCTCCAGCTGCAGCCAGGTAGCCCCTGACATGCAGGTTGCACTTAGCACCTAAGGAGAAGTTGTGACTTGAAAAATATATCAACACATTGGATTCTTTTGTGAAGTTTTGGCTCAGTGGAGGATGTTGAACACTGAAAGAACCTATATTAACGTGCTTAGCATAGACCTAATTCTTCCCATCAGTTCCTTCCTTTCACCGCCATTTATATCTTTAGTTCATCTTCAAGAAGCAATTCCCAGACTGGACTTCAGAAAAACAATGGAGCTAAGGTTTTGGCTGTATATGGGATAAAATCTTGTTTCCATCCCATGACAACAGAAGACATACTGGTGTGCTTTTTGCATCTTCTGAATTCATGACACCTTGTTTTAGAAGATTTTCTGTATGCGCCTGCAGTGGGAAATCTGAAAAACACACTTTTCTTTCAAGGCAAAAAGCCTCTCTTAAAAACAGAAGTCTTTTTTGAGGCAAAATTACTGTCCTCAGTTCTGTTTAACTTGCACACGTATCAGCTTTCACATGAATTAGACTGCCTACAGATTTTACTTAACTTATTTAGGCACTTAAGTTCCATGATTCGCCTTCCCTCAGGATTAAGTTCTCCCTGCTACCACATTAGCCTACCAACAGCCATCACTAGTTTTTTACAGTTTTTGCCTCAATAGCTCTTTAGTTCACAGCTGCAAATGAATACCTTTTTCAGGCTCCCATGATCAGCTCTGAAATTTATCTGCCAGATGCTTCCAATGATGGGAAATGGGGTTGGTCCAGGAGGAAATCCACGACTTTTCCATTGCAATTCCAGGAACTGCACACCCAGAAGAAACAAAACCAGGGAAATGAGAATTACACTTATCATCATTTCACACCTTCAAACTACTCTATCACTGAGAAAACTGCTATGAATCTGTCTGTTGAAATGAGTCTATATTCTTGCGCTTAACTCTTCCCTGTCATATTTAGGCTTTCTGAATTTTTCTCCTCCCTTCTTTCCTACCACACTTCCTGATCCCAGAAAATGAGGAGTGTTCCCTTTCTTGAGTGTATTTAATACATCACTATGCTGCAATATGCTCGTAGTTCCCATTACTCTAAGATCCAGTAGATGCTAGAAGGCAGGCACCTCGTTCAGAAACATCTTGCTGAGCAATCAGTTTGGTGGAACATGTGACTCAAAGCACTGACTATGTGCGAGCCAAGAGCTCAGATACAAAGCTGCAGCTGTCATCCAGGTCCTGCGTACACAGACAAGGACAGGAGCACTCACCAGGTAGCATTCTCGGGACAAAGGCAAAAGGAAGCAGACAGTAGCCTTGTATAAGAGTGGTTGCAAATGCAGATTTGGGAACCAAGAGCAAGGAAGTCTTGTCATCTGAGTTTTTGCAGTAAACAATACAGGTGAACCGAAAATGGCACAGTGAAGAATCAAACATAGCTAGCACTATTGACAAAAAGCATAACGGGCCTCATATGCAAAGAAACACCAAGTTCATCACATCTCAGGAGACACCGCTGAACTTTCTCTGGAAAGATTCTGAAGATTCTAGTAGAATCAAAATCTTCTTCCACCCACCAAAGGCCTGGCTGCACCCCTGATCCGTGGTTCTCTGAGCTCCTCAGGTCTACACACCAGAGCTCACCCATGGCTGGCCTGCAAGCACAGTGCACCTGGAAGAAGCCAGCCAAGTGCCTCTCACAGCTCCCTACACTGCAGAGGATACTCAGGGAAGTGGACTGAGAAGGGCTACTTCAGACCCAGCATGGCTGGACCATGGCTCAGTGTGCCCCAAGTACTGTTTTCTCTTTTCCTCCAGTCCCCTACTATGACTGGTCTAAGGCTAAACTCCAGTGCAATAAGGGACCTAAGAAAATTACAGGATTTTACAAAGTTTGTTGTCAAGCTGTAACAATTCAGAGATGCAAATTAATTCATAAATTTCCTCCAGTTCCCTCTAACTAGTACAGACATTTCACATGGCAGACTCTTTACCTGCCTATAATGGCAAACAAAGATGGCACATGAAGCTGGTTTCCCCACAGCAGCTTATTCCCACATCCTAGCAAATACTAACAGGTCAAAGAATCTCTCTCTGGTTTAACCCCAGAAGCCCCTTGGCATTTTATTTCCTCAGCTGGGGCCCCTCTTCTGAACTCAGGGCAGATTTTTCTAACATACCTCTATGTCACATAATTACTAGAGACCACAGCCTAAAGGATTGACAGGTCAAGAAAGAGACTTTTAGCCTGGACATTGTTAGATCCTAGGAGCTGCCTTTTAACACAGCTTGCAGCAGCTTGCTGCCTAGCAGCACAACACACTCCACCTCAGCTGCCTATGTTTAAAGCAGCATTTCCCAACAGCAGCTGCTCAGGTAATGGCAAGTATAAAAAGGAGCAAGCTTCAGATGTTCTGGAGAACACTGGAAATCCCAAGGGGAGGTTGCAGTATGCTATCTCAGAGGGTCTGTAACAATTCCAGGAGAAGATGGGCTCTTACTTATTCTCATTTTACAGGTGGAAAAGTCCTGATGGTAGGAGAGGAAAGATAGCATTGCCAGAGATACAGGTCTTCAGAATGCCACAGGTGTGGGTTCAACTACCTGATGGGCAGCAGTTTACCTTGTGCCCATAACTCCACCTGCAGCAGGAGTCCTGGCAAGGTAACCATACTGAACTTCTCTGCAAACACAATGGCCTTTGCTTTTGTTCTGCCCAAGTTCTGCTAAAAGCAGTAGACTGTCTCCTCTCACAAAGTACAGGAGGACAGGGAGCACAGGCCAAAGCTCTTCAGGGATCACCATACTCCTTGATAAAAGAGTTCCATTGCTTGTTTGGAAGCACAGACTGACAGCTCCACTGGCTACTTTTTATATCAGGTCTAGAGATGGATACCTCCTTCAGCAGCCAAGGTTTTCAAACTCCCTGTTAGGACTGAGTTCTTGTCCACTATGAGGCTTTATGGATTAGAGTTTCTGTCTTGTCTCAGAAGCAGGACTCCTGCTCAGCCAGAATTAATGCCAGAGTCTGTAATTCTTTGCTTTATTTTTAATTCACAGCACCTGAAGGAGCACATACAGAGACCTCCTCAACACAAGAAACTACAAACAGGAGCAGTTCTTAGAAGATTTCTTGAGTGAAGCTAGTGGAATAAGCTGTTCAGGATGTTGGTACCCAGCTGCCTCGTGAAGAACAGCAGAGACCGTATAGGGATGGAGCTGCACAGTGCTTCCCAAAAGATATTATGTGTTCGCTTCTTTAACCCCATCAGGCAGGGTGAATCTAAATGCCTGCAGAAGGCTGCAGTGATGAAGAGCTCCATGCTTGCTGACTGCTCACCCAAAAATATACAGAGCCCTGCAGAAAGGACCTGAAAGGGCAGTTATTGACCTTAACTGCTGCCCTCCACCATGCCCCATGCTGTCTTGCCCTGCACTCTCTCTGAGGCTCTTGCTCCTCATCAGAGCAGAGGTGTCCCTGCAGGCTGTCATTCTCTCTCAAGATTTGCTGTCTAAACAAAACTCAACCCATCCTTGCAACTCCACTTGCATAATCCATTGGTGTTACTTATTAGCTGGCAGAAAGGACATCAGGCAGTTTTGAAAGATGGTTTCACTTTTTATTCCCTCATCAGAGTTCTTCAGTAGCATTCAAGGTACCTATCTCAACCCCTGTTGAGAAGGGTAAGAAAACGTCTCTGGAGAAAAAAAATTCCCTTCCTCATGCAGGAATTGACTGGGCTTGGACTCCAGAGACTTCTTCCAGTGCTTAGGAATCAGTCAGGACAGTATATATTAACCATACTGTCCTGCAAGAAAGAAGGAGTTGGTCCCACGTTGTCTCTTAACCTCTATCTCCCTGGAAGCCACCCACACAACGAGACATAGAAAAAACCCTCCCGTTTTATTTACTGCACTGAGCAGAAGGCCATATACCATATCGGCATAGCTGCTTTTCCTTGAATATTCCTTCTCCTCTTTGATTAGTAAACAAGATTGATAATCCCCTCCTCATTTGCAAGCAGCACTGGAACTAAGGAACATGCTGGGTTTTTTCCTTTTATCTTGAATAGCTGCTGGCCAGGCATCACAGGCAATCTTGATACAAGGTTTATAATGCAAAGGGATATACAACCAATAGCTTCACAAAAGTGTTCAGATGTGTTCTACATACCCAGACATACAGAATGACTGTATTTGACAATGTTCATTGCCACATCTGAAAGAATTTAAAAAGAAACACCTTGTCTGAAATCACTCACAACTTTCTAATAACTTCTCAGTTCTGATAAGGTTTCCATTTCTGTAAACACAGCTAAGACTGCATACTGTTGCCCTGTAGTTCCGTCCATGGAAGTTTTAGTTCCATAACAGCTAGACATTTCCTACACCCACACTTCCATGTGGAGGGCGTTATTTTCCTCATCCCACATTTCTCTCCAGGTATGACAGCTGATTTTTTTTTTTATCTGAAGGATTCATGGACACATTTAGCACTGCCAGCTTCTTCTTAAAAACCCAAGCAGAAAGAGAAACTTGAAAACATAATTATTTATTCATGACAGTTTTTAGTTCAATCAAGAAGCATGAAAAGCAGCCAGTATCATGAAAATTTTTCTTTCCAGGTTTTCCAAAATATTTTAAAGCACAACTTCCTTTAAAAAAAAAAGAAAAAACAAAACAAAACCAAAAAAACCCACCCCCCCCCAATTCTGACAGAATTAATTTCTGCATCAAAGGACATCAGGTCTGACCTATGCCTCTACTTAAATTCCAGTGGATTGCCCACCCTGTGAGTAGGGAAAGAGGGCTGCTTTTTCATTTGCCACTTGCCACATTTTGCTATTGCAGATTCAGCAACTGTAAGTATTATCTTTTACTAAATAATTGGGTACGGTAAGTGAGAATTCTTAAGAGTTGTGTGTGTTTTTTGCTTCAGTCTCCCCATGCAACAAGGTGACTGATACTGTGGTGCCACCTCAGAGTAAATTCAGATGCAACATCACACAGTGCACTGCCTCATGCATTCAGCAACACAAAGGGACCATTTGGTTAGTCCGCATTTCCATAGTATCTACCTGTAGGTAAGCACCATTGGCATAACTATATAGAGGTAAAGGGTAGCAATTCAGCTTACTATAGTGTGTTTTATCCCTTCCTAACAGGTGAGGTTTTCATGAGATGCTATTAAGGATGGAATAATGCCATTATTTCTCCCTGCTTTTACAGTCTTTTAAAAATTGATTCTCAGGTCTACAGTACTCAGCATAAAACTTTTTTTAGCCAATTATAGCGGTCGATCATTTCAGCTAAAGGTAGTAAGTTCACATGCACTTTATCGTACGGAGAATGTCATAGGCTGCATTAAATCTCACCTGCCTGAGGTTTCCAAGGATAGGACATGAAGTCAGCTCCCAGGGAAAGCATCTATGCACCCATGGCAATTTCAGGAGCTGTACAGTCAGGAGAGACATGACCAGGAACATGACAGCCTCACTGACAGAGCAGATCACTTCTGCTTTATAACAGAGGTCTGACTAGGGAAGCAACAGCTGTAGATGTACCATCTGAAGCTTTATTCTGCTCTGAAGCATTCACTTCTGAAGGAGTTCTTGTCATATCCGGAATTAACAGGTATCTCATTGTCTTCCCTTTTGACCTCCTTTTACCCTTCCAGACTACTAGGGAAGTTTATTCATTGGAGCTTATTCAACAAGCTTTTCTCTCCCAACATGCTACGACAATAAGAATCATGACTGCAATTAAAGAACAAAGAGTTTTTCTTCACATAATTCGGGAGAAATTTGTGAGGTGGAGGCATGTAGGCTGAGCAAATTTCTTAAGAACTAATTGCAAGCACAAGGAA